CCTTCTCTGAAGTGACAGCGAGCACACTCCAACTCATACCACATGCACTGCATTTCATTAAGAGTCGTCGAAGCTCTGTCACCTTCCTAAAATACAAGTAAACCGATCACTTATAAATAAAATTTGAAAAAAGGTTGAAAAAACATTGTTCCACATTACACCAAAGATTAGCAAAAAATACGTTACTAGATTTTGTGCAAAATAATAAGCTAGCCTGGTATCGATGCTGAACAAAATTTCTCCGAAAAAGCAGTCCAGTGTTTAAACATTACTCTCCTGTACTTAAGTACCTTATCAAGTCAAGCCAAGCATAATTCCGATGACATTAAGTTACTTCGAAGTTGGCACCAAGATAAATGAAAAAGCAAAAGAAGCTGCTTACTCTAGTAAATTTGCCGCACATCTTCTCCGCACGTTCCATCTGTCCAGCACGAAGCAGATATTTGGCGGCTTTACTGTTGATATAGCGGTCAGCTGTATCCAAAGATTGGGCTTCATCCATGAGCCTGGCCGCTTCAGAATAATCTCCAGCATGCTAAAATAATTTTGCTCATCGTGAAGTTTCACAAAATGAAACTTGCAAAAGCCAACAGCATTTTTTTGTATGTACAGCCAAGTAAATCACAGAAATCCGAAAAGAAAAGTGAAACGAAAGAGCTTTGTACGTTCAAGTATGCGAGTGGAAGGGCCTTGCACAGGACTGGCACGAATTAATCAAGTTACTACGCAGTTTCTCTATCACTTCCCCATGGCATAAAAACACCGACAAGCTGAACCGTATAGACTCTTACCTTATATATCTTTGCTTTTACCATTAATGTCTCTATGAGAGTAGGAGTGTGCGCATATGCTGACTCGACATATTTCATCGCCACTGGAATATTGCCAACTCGATCAAAGTGCTGAGCGACTAATAAGTAGAGCCAGAGAGCAGATGTTGGAGATTCCATCTCATCACCATCCCCTACAAAAATGTGTTTTCTCAAGCTCATAGGTCATATTATATGGCGGGAATTCTGACAACGCAAAACGTGAGTAGCGAAAGTATAGATGACATACCATGAAGTGATCCTCCACGGTAACCATTCGTTTCTACATGTTTCACATAATCCAGCAGTAATTGCTCGATGATGCTAACCTGAGAAGAAAAGACGATCTACAGAAACACTAGAAACACAACTTACCTTGCTAGGACTGCTGTACAAGGGGACTAGATTCTTGAAAAGACTAGGAACACCTTTCCGCAACCCTTTCACGATCCATTCATCAAGACGATGAGCAAGCTCCGGTCCCTCCAGCAAGTATAGTGGTTGCCGTCGAGGAGCCGCAGCACGCTTATACCGGTCAGCAAAATAGTCATACATGGCTATACGGTCGGCAACGGGAGCACCTATACGAACTGAGTAAGTACAAGGAGTGCCTTGCAAGACTAGAAAGCAAACCAAGTTTGCGCACTTTCACCTAAGCCAATGCAGTTCTCTAGCCTATCGTAATAGTCTATATTTTCCGGATTCCGATCAATGAGTTGCCGATACACTTTTTCAGCCTCTTCCAGCCTTCCAAGCTTCATCAAAATAGAACCTGAATCAACAACTTAGAAAAAATGAAGCAGACAAATGCACTACCACAAACCTCTTCTTTCCATATAAGATACTTTATCTACTATGACAGTGGCATTCTCCTCGAGTTTGGACAATGCCTCTTCAAGCTGGCCCGCTTCACAAAGAATCATATTCTGATAGAGGACAAGTTCCGAATACTCGAAGTCGTATGAAGAAGGCTGCAATGATGATTAAAGAGAATAGCATGAAGTCTCGTGTGATCTGACAAAGATGCTACTTCACAAAATAACGACATAGCAGGATTCAATATATATTAAAAACAATATTCTCATTGGTAAAATGAGGTTAATTCAACGACAAGAAATTCGCTTTTTGTAATATACTAAATATCATCAGCCGCCTATTTAACTGAAGCAAAAAAGTGTTTGACAACTAGTTGAAGATATACGACAACCATTTCTGGTGAGCGGCGAAGTGAACCA